TTTGAATCGCCGACCTTGCTGTTCAAACCCACCTTGAGGTCGAGTGCTTATCCTATGCCACCACATCAGGACCCCTGGATAACCTTATGTAGCAGTTCTACTCTGTCCTGTGGGGTTGCTATGAGTTGGAATCGACCCAATGGTAGTGGTGGGTAAGAAACCCAAAGAATGGAAGACTCCATGGTCACAGTTCTGCTCTGATATGCATGGGGTTGCCATGGGTCAGAATCAACTCAACAGTATATTGGTGGTTTGGTTTTGTTTTGTTTTTAATATGCTTATAGCATGCCTGGCCCATTTTATGTGTTCCATAAGTTTTACCTATTATTTTTGTTGTGATTATCATCATCATCTTACCAATTTGTTGGGCCATAATGAATCACAAGGTTGGCAGTTTTAATCTACCAGCCACTGCTCCTAAACACTATAAAAGGTCACTTATGAGTTGGAACCAACTCAACAGCACTCAACAACAAGAAAAACTCCTCTAAAGGTCCTGGGCACACAAAAATAGTACTCATTTCATGAATAACTCATGATATTTAAACTGTAGAAAGGAGACTAGCTCCTAGTGCAGAGATGAAGTGTAATCTTTAAAGGAAGTATCTAACCAGGCGCCAGCACTGTGTTAACCTTCACCCCTCTCCGAGTCTTGTTTCGGGATAGGCAGCCATATCAATCCATCTCGGGACTGTAGTGGCCACACAGCACTATCTAGAGAATGTCCCAGGAGGTCCTGGTGTCTACGTGCCGACTCTTGGAAGCAGGTGGCATTAGTGGTGGTTTTCAGGAGTGTCCAGTTATCTCTTCTTTTTTGGTTTCTGATTGGACCAAGAATTGCATTCTTGCAGTTCCCTCCTCCCACCCCATCCAACCTTGGTCTCTAGCCTCAGGAACAGAGCTGGCAGCCAAGACTGGGGAAGGGATTGAGTTGGCCCGGAGCGCACAGAGCAGGTTAGTGATGGGTACTGGAGTTCCAGGGACTGGAGGTGCACACAGAGAACTTGCCATTTTAGCCTCGTTTGAAAAGTTGATAACAGTTTTTGTGTGTGAAAACCATATTGCTTCAAAATCATAGAAACTTTTGTTAAATAAAAATATCAAAACGTGAAGCTATTGTTTCTCCACAGATCCTCTATTGAGATCTATGCACTTTTGAAGGCTGTGTTTCTGTCTCTCTAGTGTAGTGCTGCAGGACAAGCATTGGACCACAAGGTTGGTTTACATTGCAAAGTCAGTGGTTCAAACTCACGAGCCACTCCTCAGAAATCCAATACAGGGTCACTATGAGTTGGAACCAACTCAATGGCACTGCCTATATACCACTAGTGGGGACTAGTGGTATATAGACACCGAAGAATTCTTTACTTGTTAATTTACACCACATTAAACAGCAATTTTGGCATCCTGGAGGTGCTCAAATTATGTTCCTTTTTATGTTCTTTGAGTTTAAGGAACAAAAAGACATCTGAAGGGGCAAGATCAGGACTGTAGGGTGGATGAGGTAAAAAGTCCAAGGAAATTCTCACAAGGCGGTCCTCCCTACCCTTGAACAATGAGCAGGTGCATTGTTGTGATGGAAAAAAAAAATCCTCAAATTCCTCAGCACAATTTTCCTGGCTGTTTTCTCATCAATACATTTTTCCGTTTTCTTAAAACTTCTTCTTGATAATCCGCCATGATTGTCCTATGTTCTTTGACAAAATCAATTAAGATTACTCCTTTGCAGTCCCAAAAAACAGTCCCCATAACCTTCTGAGCTGACATCTCTGCCTTGAATTAACTGGCCCAGCAGATCCCCTCTGAAAACACTGTTGATTGGACCCTTCTTTTGAAGGCAATCTTAATGATACTAAGACAAGTGTTTTACTGAGAGAACTTGTTTGCAGCCATCCATCGATTACAGAGACATGTTTAAATACATTTTATTTGGAATGAACCCATGCATATATGAAGTGGGAACCTAGTAGCAATGACTTACTAGTATCAACGTACAAAAACCTAGTTGTTGTTGTGAAATGCCGACGAGTCGGTTCCAAACACATAGCGACCCTGTATAGGGTTTCCGAGGAGCAGCTGGTGAGCTTGAACTGCCAACTTTGCAGTTCAAACGGCTTTGCAGTCTGGCACATTAACCCACAGCGCCACACCAGGACTCCAAAACCCTAGTAGCAATGTACACCACGTTAACAATTTCTTTTTTTTTTTT